TTTATCCGTGAAGCTGTGAAAACATTTATTTATCTTCAAGTTTCTGTAAGTCAATGCACTGTTAACTTTACTAATTCACTTTAACACAGCATCTCTGATATTATTTAAATATTTGATATTGATACAGTAGTTTATTGGTTTATAGCTCTTTAATTGTGTTGATTTGCATATTTACATTGTTCTAAATCCCAAATAAATATTTTTGAGTAATTTTGTTGTATTATTTACTACTAAAAAGAGTAAAAAGTATATTAACCCTCATTTAAACCTCCTGAACAGCCCGCCATTAAAAACCGGAAACGGAAATAAATTTCATAAAATTGAAATTGTCATGTCTATGTCATGTCAAATGTCCCAGCCGCCATATCTGAAAATTAGTTACCCAGGCCAGTGCCTTCTATTAAAAGATCAGCCTCCGGGCGGACTTTTGTTTACTTCATCAGCTGTACATACTTAGATATTGGGTTAGATTCCGTTTCATATTTTGTCGGTTGATTTTTGGTTTTAACTCTTTGATTTTTGGTATTATTTATTATTGTAGTGCAAAAAACTAATTATTTTGGTGTTGAAGTGACATAAACTACTACCAGATATATGGTCACTCTCGGTTTCGCATAAAAAATAGAAATTTTAAAAATTACACGTTGTGCAAGTGATTTAACCTAAAAGTGCCCATACATTTTTTACTTATCGTGATTTTTTGTGTGTGTTTTTAAGACTCTAACAATTCATCAATAAAGCTTAAGTGGAGTGTGTTATTGGTGCTATGCCTCATCTTTGTTGTGTTCCTGGTGGAAAGGATAGTTATTATACTAGGCAGCCTAAAGTGTCGGAAGAGCAAGAAAAGTGGGTACGAGTTATAAATCAGAGAATTTTATTGAAAATATCTTTAATAAATTTAAAATAATATTCTCCATGATGGTATTAATGAAAACTGGACAATTATGTTTATTTTATTCATATTGTGGAATCTCCACTCCAAGTGTTGCTGGTTCAGCTTCGATAGATTCAAACACGTAAGTAGGTATTATGAACTAGGGAAAAAATAAAGGAATATGTGTATTAGAGATCATGAAAAAAGATTATTATTTTGAGTTCAAATTTTAAAAAGATTTTTGTAAAGACAAGACTGATACAGTTTAAAGAAGAATGATTTTTGTTTGATAATATATAATGTATGTTAAGCATAACATATATTTGTTCAGTAATTTTAATGAATAGTATTGATTATTTATAATACCAAATTAATATCAAATATTTAAGTGATGGCTGAATACAATATGAATAAAATAACAATAAAATTGGTATATTTGCATAATACAAAATTAAGTTTTAAGAATAAAGGTATTACTAAAAATACTAAGAAATTCATATTTCTTTGTTTTAATTGGTCTAATGTTATTTACATTTTACGTAAGAATTATACCGTATCATCGAAAAAAATCGGCGTCTAGTTGGCTTGGAAATGAACATCGATGATATTCCCTAAATAACTGTACACATAAAATAATTAACTAGAATTTTACAATCTTGGAAAATTTGATATTCTTGAACCTTGATTCTAAATATTCTAAATTTTTTGATTTTCTTGGAATTTAGGTTCGGGAAAAACGCTGATTGATTTTCATTTGGTTTTTCATTATTTTTATTTGGTTTAAAAAAAAACAGTTCGGCTAACATTATAGCCTCATCAGTGTTGTGTCATATGAAAAAAATAGTGTCGAATATAATCCAAAAATTGCATATAAAATATTCACACCACGCACATAATGTTTACTGCGTACTCCATAGTCAATGTAGATAATTTTAGTGTTAAGAATAATAATTTTAAAAAATATGTCATCTTTTGATAAGTTTATATTAGTTTATTAATTGCAGTAAACATTATGAGGTGTGAATTATATTGTATATGTAATTTTTTGGATTATATTCGACACTATTTTTCTCATATGACACAACACTATGAAAGGCTATAGTTAGCCGAAACGTTTTTTTAAACAAATAAAAATAATGAAAAAACAAATGAAAACAATCAACGTTTTTCCGAACCTAAAATCCAAGAAAATCAAAAATTTAGAATAATTTAACATATAAAATGCCAGCGATCTTCATTTCATAGCCATCGCTGACGCCTTTTTAGATAATATTGTATTATTTGTAAATATAATTTTTCGAACATTGATACTTGCAAAATATACATATAAATTTTGTGAATGCAAATAATAATACATCACTATTAGTAGGTATTAAATGTTTTTTGTTAAATTAGATCGATTTTCAAACCCCAAAATTTAAAATATATTTACATTTCACCCATTATCTTATGTACCTATACATTATTTGTACATTGTAAAACATTTGCTGCATTTGTATGGTTCATAGTTTATTTGCCAAAGTATTTATTACTATAAATAGGTATATATGTTGTAGTTATTAACTGTATATTATGTATATTTCATTTAAACTATATCATTTTTAAAATACAAACCAAAAATCTGAGGAATAATTATGTTTTCCATGTATTCTACAACATATTTATTAATCCGTTATATCTAACTAGCGTGACGTCATAAATCTCGCCCGGAGGCTGATCTTTTAATAGAAGGCACTGCCCAGGCAGCCACGCTGTTTCCATAATTTAACATTGACTTGACACTTCTTCTTGTATTTATTATTTTATGGTCCTACCCAGGCAGAAAGCATGGCCTTCTAGACTGTCCTAGACAAAAATCTGAATATTTCTATATGATTTCTGTCAATTTCTGTTCCGGAACATTTTTATGCACGTCGGCGTCCTCTTCTTTTGTCTGTGTGTCAGCGATGTGTCAACTCCCGAGGCCTCTGGCAAGGTCGAGCGCCATTTTAATTTTGCCGTTTAGATTTGATTGGAAGTTTATTTATGATATTTCGGCTGAAATTTATAAGTACAAAGATGTTTTTTGATATAAAGTTCCTTGTTAACACTTTAATAAAGTATATATGATATTAATTACATAAAGAAAATGATGAAATCGACGTTTCTGCGTGTAGTAGGTATGGGCCATATTATATGTAAAAATAGGTAATATATTAACTGTTTTTATATTTTTTTAGCTTTAGATCCAAGGATCTTGGGATATTCTTTGCCAAGGATTTTGCCGTATCTCTACTTTAAAGACTGATCGGAGATTTTGACCAATTGAAAGCAAGTTACACAAGGTAAATTATGATTATTGAAATATTATTAGCCTACATTAATTATCTACAAGATGAACAGAAATGCGTAATTACATATCACATAGGTACCTATTATGTATTTTCATAGCAATAATGCTATGTATGTAGATTTTTTTTTTGTAGATTATTTTTAAAATACAAATGAGGTATTAGATGTATTATGTATCATATTTTTTATTCATTTTATTTTCATTCAAGTCCTGTTTGATTTAATTCACAAAAGTCTTATGTACCTATATTTATGTTTTTTACATATTTTTTTAGGTTCCAGGTTTTGCGTGGGTTCCTGTTGTCTTTTTCCTGCTTCCAGTTAGTTAGTTTTACGCCCGTGAAGCTGTGAAAACATTTATTTATCTTCAAGTTTCTGTAAGTCAGTGCACTGTTACTTTACTAATTCACTTTAACACAGCATCTCTGATGTTATTTAAATATTTTGATATTGATACAGTAGTTTATGTGTTTATAGCTCTTTAATTGTGTTGATTTGCGTATTTACATTGTTCTAAATTCCAAATAAATATTTTTCAGTAATTTTGTTGTATTATTTACTACTAGAAAGAGTAAAAAGTATATTAACCCAGATTTAAACCTCCTGAACAGCCCGCCATTAAAAACCGGAAACGGAAATAAATTTCATAAAACTGAAATTGTCATGTCTATGTCATTGTCTATGTCATGTCAAATGTCCCAGCCGCCATATCTGAAAATTAGTTACCCAGGCAGCCACGCTGTTTCCATAATTTAACATTGACTTGACACTTCTTCTTGTATTTATTATTTTATGGCTTTAAGCTTCATTGAGAACCTCGCAATTAGTGGAATAATTTAGTTATTTCAGTTAAGCTTCATTCAGAACCTCCCAATTAGTGGAATAAATTAGTGGTTTCAATTACACATACTTTTTAGTTTACGATCATTCACAATGCTTAAAAAACACAATTAAAATTAATAAAATATCCTAGCAACAACTTGCAGTAATCTGTTGTATCCATAGAGAAAACATAATATTTAGCTTATAAAACAATAAACTTTTGATTTCTAACCAAAATTTTTCTTGGAGAGTGATAATCAAAGGCCAAAATGACATTCCTCGCAAACTTTGTAGTATAATTAGTGGAAAAGACAAAGGTTTGTTAACTTTTCCACCAATTGAGTATTACTACGACTAATTATGACGTTGTGAATGCTTACATTAAAATTAGGTGAACAAACTTCTACGCTAATTGAAACTACTAATTTATTCCACTGATTTTCAGGTTCTGAATGAAGCTTTAGCGTAGAAGTTTGTTCCTCTAATATCAATGTAAATATTCAGAACGTTAAAATATGTGGTAGTCATTTTAAATTAGTAGAAAAAGTTATCAAGTTTCTGTGAGAAAAGGTAGAAAAAGTTATCAAACTGTTCCACTAATAATTATACTTCAAAATACGCGAGGAATGTCATTTTGGCCTTTGATTATCATCCGTCAAGAGAAATTGTTGTTAGAAATCAAAAGTTGATTGTTTTATAAGCTAATTATTAGGCTTTCTCTATGAATACAACTGACTGTCGCAAACTGGAGGATATTCTAATAATTTTAATTGTATGTTTTAGACATTGTGAATGATCGTAAACTCAAAAGTATAAAGTATAATTGAAACCACTAATTTATTCCACTAATTGCGAGGTTCTGAATGAAGCTTTAGTTATTTCTGAATAATGAAATATCGAGGTTTTAGAAACATCGATGTATCGCTTTGATCCCTAGTTGTCACCTGATATGTAAGTTAATAAAATACCTCACCTGCTCCTGGAATATGTTTGATCGCTTCTTTCAAAATGTACTTCGTCCCGTATGCTATTTTCCCCTCGTCCTTCACCGCGTGCCACATGGCTGGCCAAAGGAAATTCCAGTCCACCCTCGTCCTATGATTCGATATCAAAACAACCGTCTCGTTCGTATGAATCGGGTCTCCGGTCACCCTTATTTTGCATCCCCAAATCACCTTGAGTAAAGTCTAGAATAGAAAAAAAAATTTACTTTTAAATATGACTCAGAAAAACAACTTCAGAATACAAATAAAGGTCTGTTTTCACTTACGCTACACTCGGCTCTACTACGCGACGCTATGCTACGCTACAGCGCAAATTAAGCTTCATTTGCATGCATCTGTTATCCGATTATACAATATTCATTTTATTGCTTGAATTTAAAGACTTCGATTGGTTAGAAAATTACGCAGTTTTTAAACTTATTGCATTGTCATGCCTTCGTTCATCGGATGTACGATTTGCTTGTGATTGGTGTCATTTTATATAAAATGGGATATCCTGTATAGATATGTTGCGCAGTAGTTAACCGCGGTAATCTACCTGCAGCCAGATGGCCCGCACTTTGGTCAGGAGAGCATAGCAAAAGATATATTAAAGAACCAGTTTTCTTAAAATTCTCGTTTTTCTGACGTTGCTAGCTCTTGTACTGTTATATTTTTATAAAGGTTAGATTATATATAAATATAAAGCGGGGGTCCTACAGCTCCTGCCGCATCCGACATTTCGACCTCCATATTGTTCGATTTTGCCATTCTTCCTTGTTAATAGCTCTATCTCTCATGTACTGGTCTACTTCATCTAACCACGTAGTTGTAGGTCTTCCTCTTTTCCTTCTGCTTTGTGAACGATACTCCATTGCCCTTTATGGCCATCTTTCCCCTCCCATTCTTTTTACATGTCCATACCATAGTAGCTGTCTCGATTCGATGTTGTCGGTGCTGGTATATATTCGCCTTGTTCTTTGTCTGATCTCCTCATTTCTAATATGCTCCATCCTTGATATTCGACATGCTCTCCTGAGAAAGTCCATCTCCACTTACTCAACCATCCTTCTTTCTTTTGATGTAAATTGCCAGCATTCGGCACCGTCTGTTAAAATTGGCTCTACGATTGCTTCGTAAATCCTTAGCTTTGTTTGGATGGAAGTTTTATTTAACCACAGGAGAGGGTTTAAAAGACCGATTACTTTCTTGCCTTGTTGAACTCTGCTATGTATATCTTTCTTGGAGTTCCCTTCTTCAAATATAATACTTCCTAAATATTTATATTCGCTACACCTTTTAATTTCATGTAGGTATGTGTAGTTCAGGATCTTCAGTTTGTTCTTCTACTTTCAGGTATTCGGTTTTTGTGAGGTTGATATTGAGTCCCCATCTATCGTATTGTTCCTCAAGTTTCCTGAACATATAGTCGGCATCCTCCTCACAACCTGCAATAATAACTTGGTCGTCTGCAAAAAACAAGGTCGATAGACAGTGGTTGTCAATCTCTATTCCCATAGCTCTACTCTTCCTTCTCCAGTTTTTCAATGCCTCCTGGATATATATTTATTTAAAATATATATCCAGGAAAGGTAGGTGATAAACTACACCCCTGTCTGAGTCCTTTTGATGTCAGGAAGGATTCCGATAGGAACTTCCCCTGTCTGATCATATTTTTTGGATTTTTGTACATATTCCAGATTACATTGATATATGTTTTACTCACATTTGTCTCAACCAAGATTTCAAATAATTTCTTCAAAGGCACCGTGTCATAGACTTTCTCTAAATCTATAAATACCCAGATGCGTGTCCAAATTTCGAGCTCTCCTTTTTTCAATTATTTGTTGTAACACAAATATGTTGTCTGTACAAGAACGCCCAGCGCGGAAACCACCTTGTTCTTCTAGTTCTTCAAAGCTTTCTTCTACTCTCCCTTTTAACATCCTGCCATACAACCTTCCCATTGAGCTTATCAAACTAATGCCTCTGTAGTTGCTACATCTTTTTTTGTCTCCTTTCTTGAAAATAGAGCTGATGTACGAAAGATTCCAGTCTTCAGGAATGTTGTCGTTTTTTATCAGGCATCTGTTGAAGATATCAGCTAGTATTTCCAATAATATATCGGGTCCCTGCTTTATCAGCTCAATGAAAATGTTTCCCGGCCCCGCCGCTTTTCCATTTTTTGAGTTCTACAATGCTTTCTTTATCTCGTTTACATTTATTTCAGGTTAGATTAAATTTGTCAAAAAAGTGTCAAAACGTCCGGTACCTACCGTACGATCTATCTCCGATGACGGGCTGGAGTAAAAAATGTACGGATGAAAAGTGGCGCGAAAATGCTATGACCAATCAGCGCGCCGTCAGACCATCGTATCAACGGATAACGATATATGCGGAATTTTATGTTGAATCCCTTTCTGAACAGAAAAATTGGGGTAGGGATTTAAAAAACTTACAACTTCATCATTACTTTTTTTTGGGATACCCTGTATTCTGTATACAGCAAAATATTTTTAGGATATGAAAAAAACTTTTTTTCGTATCTTTGTCAAGAGCGACGATATTCAACCTCCTCGTACTAATGGGTTACCCTGTATGTGAATATGTCCGTTGAAATTAGAGACAACGATATATTTTTTATAGTCTGTTTGACGGAACGGAGCTAATACGCGACATGGTGTGAATAGACCTTTATAAGTAGGTAATTTAATTATTAATATATTTACCGTAATATAAAACTGCCAATATGTAACTACTAAATCAGTCCATTTCCTGTACAATATTGGTGACAAAATAACTAGCGGTAGCGTTGGGCAGAAGAATAAGAAGTACCCTAAAAATAAAAAAAAAAGTCAAAGCTTCGAAAATTATACAAAGGATGACTCAAAGTTCATTTAAAAGATAGAATCAACAGCTATCACATTTTGTAACTTTTTTGAATTTTGTCATATTTTAGGAAAATAAAAAACCGGGCAAACATTCCTTAGCCCAAAAGGTTTTCAGATTTTTACAAACTTATATATTTTCACTAATACTAGCTTATTTGTCAAGTTTGTTTAACAGTTGTTTAACAGAAAGTTCGAAGTATTTGTTTAATCATATTTTAATAGAAAACAACTATTCGAGAGTGGCTTTTTCCGCTTTTATGGATTTCCGGAAAGTGTCGTAAACAAAAGAAAATTGCATATTATGACTTTATAAGTAACAAACATCAATGAGGAGTCAATGATAAAAGTTCAATATTACCTGCAATATCTTGCAACTCTTTGAGTATATTGTTCTTGTCCATTTTCCCGGATATAAGGACTACTTTCACCATTTGTTCTGAAATATCAGACCCAAATGGCAGAATATCAGACAGATTTTATAAGTCATGTTCCACAGCCCCTTGATGGTCCAGGTACTGACTTGTTACTTATAAAGTTATTATGCAATTTTCTTTTGTTTGCGACACTTTCCGGAAATCCAAAAAGAGCGGAAAAAGTCACTCACAAATAGTACGTTGTTTTTTATTTTAAAATGTTATTGAACAAATACTTCAAACTTCCTGAGTTGCTTAAAGAGATTTTAAGAACAACTGTTAAAAAAATCTTGACAAATAAGTTATTATTAGTGAAAATATGAATAAGTTTGTAAAAATCTGAAAATTTTTGGGCAAAGAAATGTTTGCCCGGTTTTTTTTATTATCATAAAATATGACAAAATTCAAAAAAGTTCCAAATCCTTTTAAATGAAAGTACTTGTTTACAGTATATTCAATATGAAAATGATGAAAATCCAACTTCCTTTCAATATAAAAACTTATATATAAATTCAAATAAGTTACTACCTTCCAGTTTAACAAAAGAAATTATAAAAAAATGTATTTAAAGTTCATATCACTATAGCAGGTATTTATATAAAAAGAATAATCAAAATATAAACTTACCGCCAAAAATAGACCAATTCCACAACCAAAAATAGATAACGCCGCACCAAAACCGTTTGGATTCTTGCATTTTTCTTTTAAACGTCGTCCGGCAAAAGAAAAAGAAGAAAGTGAAGCTGTCAATCAATGTCTCTTATGTCATTCCGATTTAGTCGTTAACCGATATGATAAAATGCCGGCAGACTTGATGACACTGCGAAAAATGGCTACAGTCATATATAAACATAAAACACAGATAAATAATGTTATTAAATAAATTTCGAGAATTTACATACATATAGTTTGATAAAAGCAAATTGCATTATTTATTAATATCTAATTTTATAAAATTACTATTTTACTCATCATAATAATTTAAATCAAGTGATAATTATTGGGAAATTAATTTGCTAAATTTAATGTATAATTTTTACATCAAGTTGCAGTGAAAATATTTACTAAACTGCGTACATTAATTAAAAACATTTTGCATAATAGTTATATATACCTTGAAGGTACAAAATTATCTGTAATACGAATTATCACTATCAACCGAAAGTATTAAAAGTACTAATAGGTATCTACATGGTGTCCTCACGTTTGTATACCGTGTGTTACATCGCCGACCTGGACAAATCGAAATCCCATGTAAATTTTAAAAATGATAAATAAGTTTTCTCTCTCTATTTTATTTTACAGAAAAATTAATTTGAAACTTTTTAAAGGACATCTTAAAATAAAGCAGATTGCTCATTTTAAATGGTTTTTAATTCGGCAAACAGTGATACGATGTTTTTCGACGATTTCTCCTAGTATTCTGATACTTACTTGGTTTCCATATTCCACTTGTATCAGAATATTTAATTCATTTTCATTTATCCTCTTTGATCCTCATTAATAGTAATACTATACTATTTTTATATCTGCAGTCTTTAATAACTGTTCGTGTTGTTCTTCTCTTACATTTATAGTCTTCAATAACTGAGGAGCAGACTTACTAAATGCATTTTGTCCATTTTTTAAGAATTTCAACCAAAAATGACATTGCAAACTACAGACACAGAGTTACAGTATGATGCCAAAAACGACGTGTTAAATAATACATTTTATCCCATTTGAATTTAATGGCAAAAATACCTTAGACTTTATAGGTATATGGTATATTGGCGGTTGTATGTCCTTGTGTGCTGTGGAGATACTGCTATTTGTTTGTCATTACCAGATGAAGAGTTTTTTTTGTACTACAACTTCTTTAACTACGACTGTGAACCAGTGCCGGTTTTACAAGGGTGCTATTTGGTGCTATAGCACCGGGCGGCAAATCTTAGGAGGGCGGTGTCACGTTGACAGAACTGTGGTAATGTGAATTATGTTAGTATGTATTTACTTAATTTTTCTTCGAAATAATATTTAAAATATGGCGCCAAATTCTTAACCAATAAAATTTGCCTTAATCCTAGATCCTTTAGCACTTCTCATGAGTGAGTTATTCACTCAAGGTTATGTGTACAGTTTTTCCAGCGAGTAATTTTAAATTTGCTTGTTTTCGCGAGCTTTTCTGGGGAATTTTTTTACCAGCCTTTAGCTTTTGACGGATTTTAAAGACAGGTATGTATTTCAACTAAATTGAAAATGCTGAGACGGTATTACGAACTTACGACGGATTCGTTGGTATTCGCGATGAGCGGATCCCCGGTAACTTGGAACAAAAAACCTACCAATTTTTGAAAAAATCAGATAAGTAACTCGCTAGATATGTACAGGGTGTTCGAACGATAGAATAAAGTAAGTTCTCTCCGAGAATATTTTTTTTTTATCAAACTTGTACAGAGATAGGCTCATTGGCGTAACTACAGGGGTGCCCGGAGGTGCCCCCCCCCAGGTACTGCTGGGCACCCACCAGAGAAATCCTGAATTATGACTCTTGGCTACGTATTAATTTTTATTTGCTTGTGATGCAGTAAAAATGTCGTTTTCTACTTTTGTTTAGTTAATATTATTTTGTTGTGTTTAAAAAATGTGTTAATTTTTATTTTTTTAGAAAATTTGTAGGTATTTAAGTAATCTACAGGAACACGGTTTGATAACCAAGTCTATGAAATATATTGATAGAGAAATTCATGTAAACGTTTTATTAAAAAATGTGTTTTTTAAAATTATTTTTTATTCTTAAAAAAACAAAAGCCCTAGGTCCCCCCCTGGGCTCAACCACAGGCCCACCCCAGACTAAATTGCTAGTTACGCTAATGGATAGGCTAAACATATTCATTTAAATATCAGGTACCTACTAGTTTAAAAGAAATGCTCAAACACGTAGCACGTCTATTATAATTTTTTCTGGCGCATTTTTTGCCCTAAAAAGAAAATATACAGGGGGCTTCAAAAAGTAGATTTGACAAGGAATTTATATATTTTTTAATGGGTCACCCTAGTGAATATTGTAAACTAAAATATAATATCTTTCTTTTCTGATTTCAAGAATACCATACAAGTTGATATTTGGTTCAGCCATTTTAGCGCAATTGTAAGTTAAATGATAAAATACCGATGAGATAGCCAACATTGCAACTTAATTTAAAAAAAGGATTAAGGTTATTGACTTAATATTACTTAATTATTCCCGTAATTTTTAAACTAAGTTGCTATATAACTTCCTCATTAATATTATAATATTTCGTATTTTCCGGTATTTTAGGGTATTTTATCACAACCTTAAATTAAAATTGCGCTAAAATGGCTGAACCAAATATTAACTTGTATGGTACCTATTTTTGAAATCAGAACAGGAAGATATTTCATTTTAGATTACAATATACAGAGTGACCCATTAAAAAAATTCTTGTCATATCCATATTTACTTTTTGAAGCCCCCTGCATATTTTATTTTTAGTGTAAAAAATGCGCAAGAAAAAATTATAATGGTCGTGTCAGAGCATTTTTTAGAAAATTAGCACCTGATATTTGAAATAAATATGTTCCATATTTTAACCCCGTCTTTGTATACCTCATAGTGTAGAGGTATTAAAGCTGCATATTCTTAACAGTGGCGGATACAGAGGGGGGCCCATGGGGCCAAGGCCCCCCTCTAAAATATGTAAATTGGCTTAAATATTAGGCTTTTGGGTTAAAAATAGCGCTCTAAAAAGCATATTCTACATTACTTTTTATTTGGGCCCCCCCTAAAATAAATTCCTGTATCCGCCCTTGACTCTTAATATATTTACCAATACACAGGGTGCGTCACAGAAGTGGTAACACAGAAAAAGAACTTTTTTTAAATGAAACACCCTGTATATTTATAAATTTTTTGATTCCTTGAAAAATTCAACCTTTTTCAAGCTACAGGTATTAAAAAATCGGAATTTCAAACTCTATCAAATTCTGTAGGCAAAACGGTTAAAGATAGAGCAAAATAAATGTCACTTTCTAGGGGATGGGGCGCTCGTTACAGTTAGCACCGGGCGGAAAAGTTGCTTAAACCGGCACTGCTGGGAACCATGTAGTTGCAAACAGGGACAGTGGTAGCAGAAAAATAAAGAGAATTTTCACGTCTAAAGAACAATTTTTTGCAATTTTTTCAGATATCATCAAAACTAGATTTCTCACATATAGGTTGTACTATTTTTGAATTTTTATCCATTTTTCAAGTATACTAATTTTTCGGTTTTTTGCAAAAAGCGTGGCAGTTCTTCCTTGTTTGCCAAAAATCGAAAAAATTGACAAAATTCAACTAGAAAGTCTACACCTCAACTGGTCTGGCATATTTGGAAAATGTACAGAAAATAAATCCTTTACAGCCTGTAGACTTTTTTCTTCATAACACCACTAAACTATTTTTTTTTTCTTTAGTTGTGTTATTCATATTTACATTTATACTATAGTTAGCAAATCAATATGACATTAATAAAAATGATTTCTTTTAAAATTATTTTTGGCAACAATAAAGTCAATTTGACATTCAAAAATTGATTTTGAAGGTGGCATGTTTTTTATTCTAATCAGGACCGTATTATTTTTTTGATTAATTTAGTATTTTTGTATCTCTCATAACTCAGGAAAGAGTTCGTATAAATCATTCAAAATAAACACTTTGCTTCATTTTAAGGAGTTCTTTAAAAAGTTTCAAATACATTTTTCTGTAGAATAAAATGGGGAAAACTTATTCATCACTTTTAAAATTTACATGGGATGACCCATGTCCAGGTCAGCAATGCAACTGACTGTAAAATTCTACGACAAATTTCCTTCCCAGAGAAGAAGTGTTCAACGGTGAAAATCAAAAAATAAAAATAATTAAATGAATATACAGGGCGAGCCTTAAATACGTGCAAATGGGTGATATATTTGGATCCCAGAAACACGTCTATGAGTTTTTTTCCCGATTTTTTTTTTAATTTTTAAAAAAAAAATGGGAATTTTTTAAGTTTTTAGTTAATAAATATAATATCTTGATAATATGGCAACATAGGTCGTAGAATACATTTAGAGAAAGGAAAACCCAGAAAAAATCCAGTGGTTCTCAAAATTTAAACATAAAATAATTGTGTGTTTAAATTTCCAAAGCAAAATACCGAGTGCGTCAAAATACCGTGCTCTCTTAAAAACACTAATTTTTAATCAAGGAACCTTGGAAAAATAGATTTGATCGTCTAATGTTTTTTTGTGTCTTATCCTGGCCGTTTAAAAAATGCCCAAATCGTATTTCTAATCATATCTCAATTTTTTCAAATGACTCATTAGCATATTTCGAAAAAACATTTTTTTTACGAATAATTTGATACCACACACTTGGTATTTCGAGTCAAATTTTCGTTATGAACCGCAACCCGAAAATCGAAATTGCAACATTTGTTTTGAAAAAATTGCACAAATGATATTGTTCATATGTGAAAATGTCAAAAGTCATATGATGTCATGACATGTGATGTCATTCTATTCAGAGTGCCTTTTTCTATCGAATAAAGTAAAAATACAGAGGGTGTCATTTAACAATCGATAGTTGCATTTAAAAATCAAATTTCCAGTAAAACAGGAAATGACCAAACACAATTGAATACGTCAGTCAATCCTAATTTATGTCTTTTGGACACTATACCATTTTTATCTTTTTCCATCGACAATCGGATTTTTTTAATAAGCAAAATGTTTTTTACAGGGTGTCCCAGAAATAAGTACAGATATTTTAAGGAGTGGTAGATCTCGATAAAAGATACATATTTCCTCTTTACCGTTTTTCAATAAGTCCAAAATAACCGAGATTACCTTGAATATTTCCAAAAAAAAAATATTTTTTGCTTAAATTTTGAGTTTTCTGGGTTTTCTTTCTTGTTAATTGAATCTACCACCTATGTTGCCATATTATCAAGAAATAATGTGTTTCTGGGGTGGATATATACTACCATCCGTTAAAATATCTGGGATTACTTCTGGGACACCCTGTATAGAATGAATTTCTATCAAAAAAATAAATTTTCGGACCGTTTCTCTTCTTGTCTATTACATCGCCGGACATACAAGGCTCACCCTATATAGTTTATAATTTAAAAAGTTTGTTTCAATACACGCGTTTAACGTAAAAGAAAAAAATCACATCTAACCAAAAAAAATCTACCTATATTAAATACCTATATAAAAATATTTTTGTAGTCAAAATAAAAATAAATTAACTAATTCCAACGTTACCAACATAAAAACTTTGAAGAATTACCTGGACAAAAGGGACACTTCTTGATATCATTATTAAAACTCCAGTCTATTTCAACCAATTGCTTTTAGAAAACAAAAATATTGAACCCTTTTTCGGAAATACATAATATCTATATATACTCGTCAGGAAAAAACTCATGGTAACATCACAAAATCCTTAACAAATCACAGGCGCGTCCTGCTGTTCGGCAGGATTTCTGCTCCCCGGCAGATTTCAACCCCGACTGAGCCTAGAGCCGATCGATAATGATCCGGCCGGCAGCATCCCCCTGCTAAAGGGATGGTGCACGATAGGGAATCAGTAGAGCAATGTTGCCAGTTTAAAGTACTGGATTAAAAATGGGGGGCGTTTCTTTTAACGTTAAACCGTAGGGTGTTACATGAAAAATAAAATTATTGGCTATAAATATCTTTTTAAAAACATTAAATGCTCTAAACCCTTTAATAAATTAATAAGATTATTTAAAATTTATAGAAAGAGATATAAATATGTAATCCTGGCATCACAGGAGTTAATACTGAAAACTCTACACAAATGCCTTACTACAGGGCGTCCCAGGCTGAGCGTGCATTAGAAGTTTCTAGAGAATTACAACATCTAGCTTGGAGATTTTCTGCACATCATAGTTTCACAACGAGATCTATCGATTAAAAATATTTTCAAGATGGCGGCACTTCCGAAAATACAGGAAGTTGACAGCAACTTTCCATTTTTAAATGGGTGCCCACATTTTTTATTACATACTTAAATTATCTGTAAAACTTTATGAATTTTGATATTAAACACTCTATATCTAACATATCTAACAACCGTTTTTGAGAAAAAAATATTTATAATTTTTGAACGATAAAAACTGCCTGTCAAAAATATGTGTATCGTCTAAAATGATGAAAAATATGTGTAATCGTCAAATTTAGTGATTGCCACAGCCACTGTGCCATAAAGAGAAATCATGTGGCTATCTACACACACCGGAAAAATCTAGGGATATCATTTTATTAAAGTTAAAAATAAATGTTTTGAATAAACAACCGCATATTTGTAGGCCGATTCTTTCTACTTCGATTGAAACGAAATAGTCACACTAGTGCATTTTTTGTCAAATGTATAAAAAGCACCTAGCATGAATTGTTCGAATTTAACCTGTACTAGCTATGTTTTTATGATAACTGGCAGAATTCATTCATATAACTCTGTTTAGTATTAGACGACATTATGGAGCGTAGACATCTTAACAGAGACGAAATGCTAAGGGCCATGGGTATGCTCGAAGCTGGAATGCGCCAGATCGACGTAGCTTGGGCATTAAATACAACGCAAAGTGTAATATCGCGATTAAATGCACGCTACCGTGAAAGTGGTGATATTGCTGAAAGGCACACAGGGCGACATCGCATTACTACCCCTCAGCAAGATCATTTTTTACAATTAAATGCTCGACGCCGACCGACTCTCACAGCACCAGAGCTTTGTTTAATTCTCCAGGAAACACATAATGGTTAGTCCTGACACTGTTCGCAATAGATTAAGAGAGGTCAACTTAAGAAGCAGACGCCCCTGGAGAGCTCAACCCTTAACGAGAGGAAATCGAGAGGAACGATATTTGTGGGCTCAAGATCATGTTCAGTGGTCGAATGAACAATGGGCCAATGTTCTCTTCACGGATGAGTCACGCTTTGGATTACATCCGGATTCGAGAAGGCTTAGGGTATGGAGAGAACCGGGAAATCTTATTCGGTTGGATCATGTTCAGGAAGTGCACCCTTATCAAGGTGGAACAGTTATGGTCTGGGGAGCAGTCCAGTTAGGCCGAAAAACCGATCTCGTTTTTCTTGAAAGGTTTCTAACAGGAATCACATATCGTGATTTAATTCTTGAGCCTGTCGTGTTACCATATGCCAATGATTTTGGGAGAAACTTCATTCTCATGCATGACAATGCACGGCCTCATACAGCCAGAGTGGTAAGTGAGTTTATCAATGCTCATCAATTAAACATCTTACCCTGGCCGGCACAATCTCCTGACCTCAACCCCATCGAGCACGTATGGGACGCGGTCCAAAGAAGAATTTTGAGAATGGGTATGCCTCGTGAAGCTCGTAGGGATCTGGTTCGGGCCGTGAATGCAGCGTGGCAGGCTGTACCTCAAGAAGAGATCGACAACCTGATCAGGAGCATGGAGAGACGATGTAGGGCTGTAATGAACAGTAGAGGAGGCCATACTCTTTATTAAGTAAAAATGGTTTCTTCTTTTTTTTTAATTCACAGTTTAAAATTTAAAAAAAATGTGTGTATTTTTTTGAGTTCAATAAAAATCAAGATAAATTCGGTAAATTTCGCATTTTTATTTCCAATACGTCCTGTAAACTATTTGTTTATTTTCATTTTATTATATCAGAAATGCTAATAATAAAATTACTGAGGATGGCTGGATAAAATTGTAATATCCCTAGACTTTTCCGGTGTGTGTATTTCAAAAATTAAATTAAAGATTTAGTTTTAAAGCGTATATCTTTCTTGATTTTAACGAGTAGCCTATGACTTTAAACGTCAAGTGATGTAAAACAATAGATCTGGCCATGTCATATTGAGACGCTTTGTTCAAAAAGCAGCATCATTTCCGAGCTAACTTTGCGCTTTTTTTTTCAATCGTAGAGAATATTATTAATAATATAAACTATTAAGGTGCGTACTCACTAGAGCATTTTGGTCCGAATGAACCAAGCGAGCCGAGCGCGCACGAACGAACTCAATAAGGAAAAGATCGCAATGTTCAGAGTGCTTGTTGCGTTCGCTGTGTTCCCACGTTCAGTTGTATTTAATTTTTATTCGCGCTTTGAATCTCTAGATCACCTTTAACAAATTAGCATCATTAGTGTACCCAAAAATGCAATGGTTCAATCGCTGGAAATATTTAAAAATTTGATACATGCCAAAATTTTCCATGTAAATAAAAAACAAGCTGTAAAGCCTGATTTTTTTTAATAAAAATTTTACATTTTTCACGTGATTGCTTCTTAACAGCTAGGATAGAAATCATGTAACATTTGCCAAATCTTTTCATTAAAAAACAAGCTTTATTGTTATATTCGTTATAATTTGTGTAAATGTAACTTTTCCCGTTCCAATAGATTTTTTTCCTTTCGCCTTCTCCCTCCTGAAACTTGCCAGAAGATTTTCAATTTTTTTCTTTGCTTCTCCAGAAGCACATCCCATGATCTCATCTATCTGCCTCCACGCATCAAACTTCTTAACTTTATTATAGTATAATCCATCCTTTGGATTCCAAAGCACTGGATATTGTTCATAAATGTCTATTAACTGGAGGCACTTTTCTCTAAATCCACTTATTCCACTCCATTTCGTTTGAGCAATGAAAAATTAAAACAATGAAAATTTTTAGCCGCGAATTCTCCGAATAGGACGAACACCATGAACGCAACGAACCTCCGTACCCACTGAACAACGCATCCCCTTTAAGCAAAATGCACGTACCGACAAGCCAGCGAAAATATTTGGCGCGCTCGGTTCGTTGAAATTTTGCTCGCGAACACGTATTCACTTGCCGAATTCGGCTCTGCGCGCTCGGCTCGTTTGGTTCGTTCGGAGCAAAATGCTCTAGTCAGTACGCACCTTTAGATATCACTAAAGAACAAAAATACGGAGATATATTTTTATAAATACACTTTTTAACCTCTTAAGGGGGCAGGCAGTATTTATAATATAGGTAATTCAAATAATTCGTTTTCTGACAGATGGAAATAAATTGTCGGACCGTTTGACACTTAATGTCAAAGGAAGCTAGATAAAATCAAGAAGAATATACATTTTCAAATTAAATCTTAAATAATTTAAAAACGATTTATTTTAGTATATATATATTATTATTTATATTTAGGAACATGTATTGTTAAAAAGTAACGAATTGAAAAACCTTTTCATTAGTGAAATAAAAAAGTGGGTTTCCATTTAAAAAAAATGATTTATGATAATTTTTTAATCGCTCAACTCCATGACAGCTACTGCCATTATTATATGACATTTGAACAATTTAATTTTTGAAATAGATAGCCACATGTCTTCTCTTTATGTCACAGTGGCTGTGGTAATTACTAAATTTGACTTTTAGGCTATACCAAGAACAGTTAACCTAATAGGACTGCTCATTCAGCCAAAAGTGTCCGCCAGGTGCATGCGAAAACTACTCGCTTTGTGACGTCATTGTAGTCCTTGTCATGATTATTAGTCCTTATCCGGCAACCAATAATACACACACGTGCATTATTGGTTGCCGAATGCAAAACGTTCATTATTTAGTTTATTTATTTAAACACCTTATATGTCTGCAGTATAGAAAATTAACTGTATAAATCGTATTAAATACTCGGATAATGCTTTTTTAAGAACAGCAGTTCCCAGCATCACCTTTTGCAAGCATTCTTTTTAGAGTACTTCCATATTGTGCTGTAAAATAATTAATAAACAAAATCGTGGGCACTTTGTCACAATCCACAACACAATATGAACGTATTTATACACTCTATAGCTCTAAAAACTTTAAAGGCACCTTTTTCCCATTTAAAATTGACAAAATAATTAACTCAAAATTTCTCAGCTGTTATTTTTATTAGTTTACCATAGGCAACTAATAATACACACTATCATGACAAGGCCACGAAGGCTTTGACAAGGACTACAATGACGTCACAACTGTCAGCTGAAGCGCGGGAAGAAGCGAACGTACGTCTTATGAGGATGAGCAATCCTATTAGTTTACCGTTCTTGGGCTATACAATTTTTTTTGATAGATAGTTTTTTTTCTCAAAAACGGTTAATGTTTAGGTATAGAGTGTTTAACATCAATATTTATAAAATTTTACAGAGAATTTAAGTATGTAATAAAAAATGGGGGCACCCATTTAAAATAAGAAAGTTGCTAGCAACTTCCGGTATTTCCGGAAGTGCCGCCATATTGAAAATATGTTTAATCAATAGATCTCATTTGTAAAACAATGATATGCAAAAAATCTCCGATCTAGATATTGCGGTTCTCTATAGAAACTTCTAATAAACGCTCAGCCTGGGACACCCTGTATATTACATGACCTTTGAAATGTTCATTATAATAAATAAAGGGTAAGGGGAAAAACCAATGATGGTCATTTTATAGGAATTTTAAAGTAATAAACTTGTTGAGAGAATACCAAGTCCTAAACAGGGCAGATATAACAGGGCAACAATATTTTCAGGGCTAGTATGTAGCTGTCAATAAAAAAATATATTTTCTTTTTGCCGTTTTTCAAATCAGTCCAAAATTTTACCAAGTTATTTTACGTTGAAAATTTAGAAAAAAAAATATTTGCTGAAATTTCAAAATCATTTGCTTTGTGTATTCCCTTCCATACATTAAAATTAATAAAAAATGCTGTACTTACCGTTCAAACTTCCCTAATATGGAAACAGCACCAATATTGCAATAATCAACAGGTATTTGAAATATAAAATATGAGAGATTCCTACAATATCCATATTTATAAACATTTTACATATATTAGCAAGTCAAAATTGAGTTGAAAAAAAAGGAATGCATTATATAGGTGGAAAAAATTGGATCATAGTGCACATACGTACAACTATATGGATGGAAAGTAGGAAGGAAACCTTTGAAATTGAGCCGATACCCTACAAGAGACAGATAATTTACATCACGAATGTTTGATATACAGTATGTCACAGTATTTACCACTCAGTTTTTGATCAGTATTTTTTAAATTAACAGAATTACACTGTTAAAATGTTGGTACTAAACGATCGATTATTATGTAAAATATAAGGCTAAATCACAGTTTCGGCAAAATGGCATCGTTAAATGAAACCGAACACATCGAAATTAATTAATTCGAATTGTTTAAGTGATATTTTCAAAAGTCAATAACTCGGAAACGGTTGATTTGAGGTACATTGTGTGTAATTTCAATTTTTGCTTAGAATTGAAGGAAGAACCGATATATGCAATAATATACAGAGGGTTCCATTTAAAAAATGAAACTTTGATTGATGTGCCACGAGTTTATGACCGACCCTGTATACTTAAATTTATTACCCGCTAATAGATATTTATAAACTCTATAACCACTCTATAACTCTTATATTTAACTTTTTGTAGTACCTCCTATATTTTACCCTTGTATATGAATTTTTAAAGTAGCTCAACCTAAGACGTTTATGGATGTAAAGCACCAAATGGCGGGGCGTATTTCACAATCTTTTACTACAGAAAAATATTTTTTGTTACTCTGAATTTTGAAGCGACCAATAAAAACAGAGAAAATAAAAATCGATAATTTTCGGACTATGCCAATTGGTTACTAATTGACCAGATACTTTTTGTCTATTAGATATGCTATAAAAGCTGGTAATTATACAATTCGACCATTGTAAATACAAATACCCGACAAATTCCGCAAGGCCGATGTTTTTCACTGATAAGAAAAAAAATGTTTGTTTAGATAATTTTCGAGATATTTTTTCTTTCTGAATGCACATTTTTAAAGTATTTTATATTCTTTGTCCGCTTGATCTATTATACTGGTCGCACTATCGAAGTTCTGTTTCTTCTAGTTTTAAAATATGTTCTTATTTATTTGTAGTTGTAGTGGTTGGTGGTTGTAGTGTAAAATTAGATTAATTTTATTAAGTTTAATTATAATGTTTAGTGTAGAATACCAGAAATAGTTTAATAGTGTTTTTATACTTTATTATTTTGTAGTTAAGTAGTAGGTGAAGGGATAATTTGGTTATTTTTTCTTTTTGTTTGATTAATTAGTAAGTTTAATAATTTTTTCAGTGTAGAATACAAGAAGTAATTGTGTAGTGTTTTTATAAGATATTATATTCGTTTATTTTGTAGATGAGTAGTAGGTGAAGGTATTTGGGTATTTTGTCTTTTTGTTTTTCTTCTAATTGTAGTATGTAATTCTATTAAGTATTGTGATAGATACACTATATCTTTCTTCAACTTCGTTGAAAAGTGCGTTATCATATAATTTTGGCTTTCTGGTAGTAGAATATACGAAAAAAAAATCTGATCAAATTTATTTTAAATTAAATTAATCGAGTCTTATTAATCAAATTAATCTAGTCAAATAATAATAATAGTTAGTTTCTAAATACTATACAGGATGAGTTTCCTACGATGTTCTCTATAGGTATCTCGGAAACTACCTACTGGAGATAGAGAGTCGGTTAAATGGGGAAAGAATTGCAGTTTTGTGGGGTCATAAATATGTGCCTTTCGGAATTTTCGGAGAAATTCAAGGCTTACTAGCTAGATATTTCGAAAAAAAACAAATTTTGGCTATTTTAAAACTTGTCTCTAATTCCATTATAATCTACCGTATGATCGAATAAAAACGGCGTCAACGATGGCTATGAAATGAAGATCACTGTCATTTTATATGTAAAATTATATGGGAAATATCATCGATCGTCATTTCATAGCCATCGCTGCCGCCGTTTTTATTCGATCATACGGTATTTTAGACAAAAAGTTTTCAGATAAAAGTTGTAGATAATCACATACCTAATGAGTTTGTGTTTTCTGTTTTTTTTTTCTAAAGCCTGTCATTTTTGACATATGACAAAAACATATGTTTTTTTTATATAGAAACCATAGTTGGCCATGACTTCATAAAAAGCGCAATTTTTTAAGCTTTTCAGCGATATAGGTATAATATGTTTTTTTTTCGAAAAATTACAAGTTATAGCCAATTCTTTTCTTTCTTGGCTAATTTCCATACCAATTACCAATAATACCATGCCAATTAGTTGGCATCAAAAATGTAAAAAGTTTTGTTTTCAAAAAAATTATCGTAAAATTCGTAAAGCACTCAATTTAGAATAATATAATCTAAGAAATGATTCTTTTATAAACCTGCATTAAATCAAATTAAAATAGGTATGTAACTTTTTTTTTAATACGAATTAACAGCAATTAGCATTATCATAAATTATAAATAATGTACCAACATATCGAAATAATAATTTCTTTGTAATACGGTTTAGAATTCTTAAAATAATAGGCAAAAATAATCCACAAGTTACAATAAAATAAAAGTTTCGTTTAAATTTCTAAATCAGCTGATCACTATTAAAGTTCACAGAAACCCGGGCTATATTATTACATTACTCTGAGGAAGATAACGAAAATAATCGATATTTTTGACTCCGGCCCGAAAGGTTCACTATTTGTCCTCCAGTTGGCAGCACATTTTGTCTAGTCGGTTGAGCAACTTTAAGAATATATAAACAAGGATTTTACCAAATAATCGACCGTTTCCATACATAAAAGCGACCCTGTATATGCATACTGCGTGCAACATTTCATAAAGAAAAATTGTTAGAAAGGTCTTAAGAAAAATTACTTATTAATTACATTTGGATGATACCATTTGACATTGGCAAAATCATAGGTTGACAACTGTAGATGCTTTTTTTTGATTTTAGGCATTTACTTGATGGGTTCGCATTGTACCTGTACAGTTTTAATTTATTTTTGAAGTAAAAGTAAAAATTGAAAGCCGTGACACACGAGAAGCGTCAGGAAAAGTGGTAACGATCGGAGCGCCGTAACTCGGGCCCTATGTGAGCTAGAGGGCTGAAACTCGGAATGTGGGACTCATAGAGCCCTATCTTTTCATGATATTTTGACGACGTTTCGTGCACTATGAAACCCCATCATCAATAACGAAAAAATCGTCCGATTTAATCATCACAATCATCAATGAATCAAATAAAAAAAATCATCCGATACGCGTAGCTATAAAAAAAAACTATTTACTCCACAATCCCACAATATCTTCGCAATAAAATCAACAGGGAGCCAATATTTAGACATGTTCAAAAAGCATTATCAATGGTTTAGTTTTACCTGAAGTGAAAAAATAAAACTCCAGATTGAATGCAATAAATATTGATTGACATTTACACAATTTCAAATCAAAATTTTCTATCATTGGTTTATTTGCGATACTTACAGTATTTCTATTATTAAGATTTATTACGACTTCACAAATAATGTACATTTTCAATGCGTTTTTATCAAATAAATTCTATTTCTATTAGTAGGTACCTACGTTACTAAAAATAATAATTAATATACAATAAAGTATAATTATATTTGTTGCAAAAACACACAACAACAAAAAAATTAGATATAAAATTTAAATAAACATAAATATAAATAAATGCACTTATTTATACACACATTATAATTAATAATTATAATTTATAATTTTATGGTTCGTTTCTTACGAACGATTTTAAAGTCCTGTCAATAGTAATATTTGATGAAGGCAACGATTTATTTTTCCCTAATACACTGCTGAACAATATGTAGAATGTGTATATAACTAAACAGCACAGGATTATATTTTTCAGGACATCTAAATAGTACAACCTGCAACGGAAACAAAATTATCAGCAATAGAATGTCACTTTTATACAGGGTGTTTCAAAAAACATGTACAATCTCTCGTGGGGAGTCCTAACGTAAAAATAAGATTTATTTTTAATATTAACATAGCTCCGATTCTGCTTCGTTTCATAACTTCAAGGGGTTAAAGCCTTGATTGAAAAAATTGGGAAGATACGCAACCTAATGGGCGAATTCGTGACAGTGTTGCCATATTAAAATGTGTAATCTCTGTAATACGTTTGACGAAAATATCTTTGAATGAAAAATCCGCGTTTATGTATTGAAAATTTATTCGTGTTGAACATAGAATAAACAACAAAAATTAAAATTCTTTTACATGTACTGAATATGTCGTATGATCGAAAAAAGTCTTTTAGTTGGCTTGGAAATGACGATTATTGACATTTACCATAATATTTTATATATGAAATAAGAGCGATCTTTATTTTAAAGCCAACTCTGACGCCGTTCTTTCTTTAATCATATAATATTATATTAAATTGTTTATTGATAGAAAATCAGTATTATTAACGTACTGTACCCAAAATCCGTAAATGTACGGATAAATCACTCGCTTTGTCGACCGAAAGCAAAACTACGGTACAGTATTCTTTATCCGCTGCGCTGTAAACGACATCAGCGCGCAGCGGCGTAGTGCTAAACTAAATCTCGGAATTCTCGGACAGGCTAACGGTAACGCCAGCTACATCTCGGACAGGTTTTGTATCACGAAATCGCCCATTAAGTTGCGCATTTTCTTGTTCCTTAAATCAACGATATTACCTTTTCAATACTTTTCTTGCATATGGTATAGTTTCTGGTTCTTCGTGTACACAGTACTTCCTGGCTCCCAAAATATAACTGACCATGTATTCGTCGTTCATAATTTGGCCTTTATCCACGTAAAATATAGCCTGATCTTTATCGCTCAAGTCCTCGTGTAATTTTTCTAGTTTTTCATTGTGGAAGTACCAGGGTCTCGTGGTGTAGTACTGAAGCACGTTCAAGCCGTTGTGTATTCGTTGTTGGGTACGGACCAAGCTTAAAATGAAAAGTGAAAACATTGTAAACTATGTTAATAAAATCGTAAACAATTTAAAGGTAAGTCATCTATCTATCTGAACTTTTAAATGAAGCGAATGTTGACAATTTGGTGAAGGATTTTTTTCAAGTAATTAATTTTTTATTGTAATCAGGATAAATGTATAAATTATGGTATACAGTGAGAAAATAAATCCGTTAATTATTTTATAGTGAGTTTAAATTAGTGGACCCACGGAATCCGTAACAATAGCATTTCCAGATTACTTTCTCAATATTTTTATTCAAGGTTCCATCAGATACTCTATTAAATAAATAATAATATAGATATTGTAATCGCAAAACATTTTCCGATGCACGTCAACAATCATAACGACATAGACATTAAAGTCTAGAAACCTGACTAAATGAAATTTTGGCAAAAATGTTTAAATTTGTTGTATAATTTAAGATACCAAGCAGCTCTTCATTTTACTTTATAGAGCAAATGATTGTAACAAATATTTTATTTAGATTATAGCTGCAAAAAATAGTTTAAACCGATTTTTATTATCGCTATGTTGGTCACATTGTGCTGTGTTCAGCAATATTGTTCTTTATTATTCGGCAATTATCCTAATGTGAGTCATTATTTTGTATAATATCGTGTTGTTGTTGAGTCTTTGTGAGCAATTCTCATTTTTTTGCCTATTTTCGTAGTTTTTTTTTAAATTGCACCTTTAAGCACAAACAGTTCTTTTAAGAACTAAATTTTCGAGTTTTTGTATTGCATTTCTTGAAATTGTGTGTTGAAAATATGCCCAAGTATTTAAACAGTCCAAGCAAAAACAGTCCCTGATAAACAACTTGAACTAGAACGTGATAATAAAGGTCATTTATTACCCTTGACTGCAGTCAAAGAAGTTTGATTGATAAGCACATTATACCACTTTCAAAGTTAGTTTTTATTAAATTCTGTGATTATTAGTTTGTGCATCCTCTTACTTATTGTTATTACCACTTATGGCGTTGTAAGATGTACATCAATAAATAAATAAATAAATAACCCATAATAACGCTTAGAATAATCTTCATAATGGACTAGTTTTTGCCAATATGTAATAAGTAAAGTAAGCTATAAAACAAATAAATCAATTAATTACTAAAATATTAGTTATTAAATTAAAGATGAAGCGTAAAACTCTTTGATATAATAAAAATATATTGTCAGTTTTAAATTAAGATTCATCTCATAAATCCATCACAATCTGGCAGCGCTGTCGCCATCGCTTGTCACTCAAAGTTGATCACGTGCATCGGAAATTGTTTTCATATTGTTTTGCGATTACCATAGTAGATATATCTATTTTAAATACTTAATAATACCGTATCATCGAATAAAAACGGCGTCAGCGATGGCTATGAAATGAAGATCGCTGTCATTTTATATGTAAAATTATATGGGAAATGTCATCGATCGTCATTTCCAAGCCAACTGGACGCCGTTTTTTTTTTTCGATCATACTGTACCTATATACTTACAAAGGTTTATTATTTGTTAAGTACATGAAAAAATCGACTATATAGGCTGGTACAGTGTGCAGAAAAAATGCCGAAACAGCGTGGGCAGCGTACGTAGTCTTAATATTTCCTCCTGGGTACCAAAGACACACACTGAATGGGTACTGGTAAAAATGTTTCCTGCCCATTGCTAAAGCTTCGCCCCAATTCAACGCATATTTCTAAAAAAGAAAATAATATAATATTTTGTCCACCATTCATACGTCAACTATTCTTCGCCAAAAAAATCCGTAGCTAGAAAAATATCCCTGTCGACACTTTGACGACAGTAAGCAATCATTGGTATATGTATGTAGTATGAATATTTCATTTTGCAAAAATTAAGTCTTTATCATGAATGATTACGTACTCCGGATATTGAAAAAAAGGCTTGTTGCTTCTTTAAAATTATATTAGGAGCAAGCAGAGCTGCAAGCTCACAAAAAACTTCACAGAAAACATATTTCGAAAGCTGACTTAAGACTTAAGATTTCATTTTCAAAATAACGTGTGATTTAAGTCTTTATTCCGAAATAGAAAAAGATTTAAGTCATTAAAAAAAGATTTAAATATTTTAAGCGATTTAAGTATTTTTAGAAAAGATTCAGGTTTTTTTCATATATTTTCATCATAAATTTTTAACAGCGGCATCAAATATGTGTTTGCCATCTTTAGTTTCATAAAAAAAAGTAGCAACTGTGAAAACCGTATTTCTGTCTCGCTGTTCATAAACGAGAAACACTGGAAAACATACAAAAATGGGATAACCTCTACAAAGTACCACGAAATTTAATTTTATTTAAGTTGTTGATGTTTTTATATGTATGTGTATTTCTATGTCCTTGATGCGTTTATTTCTTTATTATTTATTATAGTTCTTTATATAATATTATATTCTAATCTATATTTACAATAAATTAATATTATAGATAATAAAAAAATCGGTAATGGGTAATACAAGAAAATTAATATTAACATTTAATAAATAGTTATTAAAATTGAATTCTGGTTGTCTTGACTTGGAGAGAAATTATATTGATTTAAGTCATTTTACTGATTTAACTTGCTAAAAAAAAGCTTAAGTAAAAAAAAAGACTTAAGTCAAAAAAATACTTAAATGACCTTATATTGATTTAAGTGTTATGTTGACTTGAAAGAAAATGACTTAAGTCAAAGACTTAAAACTTAAGTCATTTGATCTTTATATTAAAATTGACTTTGATTTTTTTTGATTTTAGAAATGACTTAAGACTTTTTAAACTGACTTGTTGCAGCTCTGGCCGAGCAAACCAACTTCAGAAGATATTCATGTAAAGAACAAGTATTTATAATTTTAAACTTTTTAAGTGCTTTTGGGGAAAGCAACCTAGTAATGAACACTCAAGAGATAGTAGTCTACACAGATGCTTCCGTGACTCCAGAAGGCACAGGTATAGATATCTTCTCAGGGGAACTAGACATCCGACGATCTTTAAGGCTATCGGATGGCTGCAATGTTCTACAAGCAGATGTTTACGCTATAAAGAAATCAGCCAGTTGTATATTAGGGAAAATCGCTGATAGAACAATAGGAGATATCGTGATATACTCTGAGAGCTTACGCGCTTTAAGAAGCATCACAATGCAATCAGTGAGATCGAAAACTGTGATGGACTACCGAGAAGCACTATTATGGCTGCGCCAAGGCGAGACCACTTTGAGCTGGGTGCAGCAATGTGTCGGGTAACCAGAAGGCGGGCAGACTCATAAAAAGGGTGCTGGGGGAGGCAGTGGTAAATGACCCACCACTTGTGACGATCATCACACTGAAGGTAGCTATAGAAACTACCATTAAGGCCAAGCAGCAAGAGACGTAGCAACACCGTGAAGACTGCGCTACAGCTTGAAGACTGTGGCCAGTGATAGATTACTAAAAGAGGAAACAACTACTAGAGCATAAAATGAATCTAGTCCGCATAATTGTAAGTGTCGTCACTAGGAACTGTCCCACAGGAGTAATGTTCGTGAGATGGAAGATTTCCAACTACGACTACTGCAGAGAATGCGAGAGGAATAGATATAGAACCATAGACCACCTATTGTGCCACTGTCCGGCACTGGAAACTATCCTATACTGATCACTACTATCCATACCTGATTTACTGTGATATTATACACATCAGCTTCGTTAACTTTCGGTTGGATTGCCGTTTTCCAGGCGATCATGATCAAGGCGTTCACGCTTATGTCCACCGGTACTATGTCGGCAATGAAATCCGGATTGCAGTGCATCGTTCTAATGACACCTTTGCCCGCACCAATCAGAATGCCCGTTGGTCCGTTTAGGTTATCCACCCAGCCGGGAAGTGGCTCTTTCCATGCCGCTGTAACTAAACATAAATTGGATTTTAATAATATGTTATGTGCTAGTACTAATCTGGAAGAAATAAGAACAAAAATGCATTCTTAAATACTTCAGGTTTCCTTAATAATTTAAGTGTAAGGGGACAAAACAACAATGTCCATTTATCCAATGTCCACAACAATGGGCCCAACTAGAAAGAGAATTTCTTAATATGTGAGCACCATAATTGTAAATGTTTGAATAAGTTGAAAATTATGATGTTTATAATACCCTCCTAAAAACAATACTTATGGGAAAGATCGAAGAAAAAAGAAGACCAAGCCGAAAACGATATTCATGGCTTCGCAGTATTCGTGAATGGTGTAAAATTACAGATACTGCCCCGATATTCAGAAGAGCTGAGGAGATGTACCAGAAGAAGACAATAGGTTATACGCTAACTAAAATTCCAAATTTGAAGTTATGAGACTTCTAGAAGTATCTTAGAAAAGAAATATTCGCAGGATTAAAACAGAGTAAATTTTATAATTTTAGTAATTTAAAGTTTTAATAGAAACTTACCTATTGATGGTCTGCAAATAGATATGGGAAATTTTACTGCATATTCTGATACCAGTTGTTCCGTCAAACACTTTGTATATGCATATGTATTGGGTGAATTCTTTAACAATTTTGGGGTGAGTATTCTTAGCAAATCTGCATCCATCCATTTTACCAGTTCCAAAATATGTCTGAAAGTAGATTGTATAGATGTTATTAACCGAGTTTAAATTTACTTATGTGATGAACATCAACTATGTAAAAATATCATTAAAAACATACCATAGGATCGAAAAAAGGGCGTCTGGAAACGTTCTATCCTTTTTAAATCTTCCTATAATTAATGTTAGAGACTGACCTCACCAAAATTATAATTGATTGTTATTCCCCATCCGTCTTTGACGCCGTTTTTTTTTCGATCATACGGTATAAAAACGGTTATGAACAAATCATATTTATACACTACTGCTACTCAAAACAATTATCGTATATTTAAATAAAAGTAATTATTACATATTTCTAAATGAAGCATGCATTTTTCTGCCTTTCTCTTGTTGAGTTTTTTTAGGGTATGCACTGACATGTAATTTTTAGTCGGCCGACTATTTAGTTGCAAAAGTGAAAACAACACATTTTTATGGAGCCGATCGGACCAATATTTGATTGCATTGCGTAGCCTTAGGCTATACGCTATACGCTGACAGGCAATTTTTAATCGGCCGACTATTTAATTGCTTATTTGTAGCCAATATATCCTTATAGAGCCGCGCTCACATGCAATTAAATAGTCGGCGGATCGGCTCCGTAAGTATGTATTGTTTTCACTTTTCCGCCGACTAAAAATTACAAGTCAACGTGTAGGCTTATTTTTTCGAATTTTCCTTCACTGTATCCAAACTATTTAAAACTATGAGTCAAGGAATTCAAAGTGTCTTGTTTTTCAAATTAATATTTTTTTTAGAAAATATGCGAAAATTGTTTTGAGTAGGAGTTTATTACATTGGATTAAAAAGTTTTTTTTTTTAATTTTCGTTTAGAGACTATCGGCTCTTTCATTATAATTTTTGTATTTTTAAAATCTTCTCTGTGTCCCGTGTCTCATAAGTATTTTGTAAGTATATCACACATTTGTTTTTGTCCTTCAGTGTTCATTGACTTAGATTGAGTCAAAATGGATCTTAGTGTATTTTTTGGATCCAACGCAGTAGTGTTTAAGTACAAAAAAATACTTTCTTATTTTGTAGATTTCCCTTCCAGTGGCGATAAACCCAGACTTTTTCAAGAACCCCTTGAAACCCTCAAGAAACTTTTTGAACCCAAAACACAAGGATATAGACATTATTTGTAGATATAATTTTAATATTTAACTTTTCACTGTTTCGCTAATACACATTTGTTAATTAATCTATTCAAACAAGGTAATTACATTTTTACCAATTTTTATCGCAATTTCCACAAATGACTCATTGGCCATATAGTTATGTAAGCCAAAGAAACGATTTCTTTTGTAAATTGAAACTGCAAACAAACGGCGAACAGATAATTGAGCAACTCATAATTACCACTGCTAATAAATAAAAGCAAAAAACGTAAATAAAAGCAAAAGTACGGATAACTAGTAGGCAGTTAAATATCGGTATCTGAAATAAAGTTTTAATGTGTTTATTTAATTGTCTTTGGTTTTTATGTAACATCACACCTACTTCTGCGGTGTTTATTAACATCTTAAACTGAACAATAAAATTTTAACAGGCTTAAAATTAAATACGCGTTTATTATACTTCTTAGACTAGAACAAAGTGGATAATAAAATCATCTATATTCCGTCTAGAAAGTATCCGGAATTTTATATTTTTCCTTATTTTAATAACTAACCTAAGACAACAGTAATCCACCACGTAGGTTGTGTCGATAGTAGGCTATGACCAAAATCGCATGGCAACACCATCTGTCAAATATTGTTGATTGTAAACCGGCTTAAGATTTGAGAAATAATGTCGCAAGTAAAAAAAAGAGAAATGGTGGAATATTTGTATAGAAAAGGTGTTCGAAACGTTAAAAAATTAGTGCAATTGACTGAACTCGGAAAAAGTGCAGTATATGAGACAATAAAGGGGATAAAAAATGGCACAGATATGAAGCATGGACCAGTTTCAGGAAGACCGCGTAAGATTCGCGAAAATAATTTAAACGCTTTAGTGGCATTAGGACGACAGAATCCGTGCCTAGGGTTTCGCAAATTGGCTAACAGATTTGACAGTCAGCGAAAATTAAAAGGGTGTCCAGAAACCGTCCGCATGTCACTGAAAAGACAAAGCTACATATCAAGGAAGCCAAAAAAATACCTGCAATAACACCTCTTCAAAGGCAGCGAAGAATGGATTTTTGTCAACGTTTTCAAGAAGATAATTTTAATAATGTTTTTATTTCTGACGAAAGTTGTTTCCAGCTTGGTGGAAACCACCTAAAAATCCCATCAAAAGAAAATGTTACCGTTCAAGTTTCAAAATTTCACACTAAAATAATGGGTTGGGGATCAATCTCAGCGTGGTGCTACACCTCTGTGTATAGTTGATGGAACTGTTAATAGTGCAAAATATTGTGATATTTTAAATGGTTTTCTTCTTGAAACGGCTCATGTTTTATATCCAGAGGGGTGGCGTTTTTAGTAGGATAATGCAAGATGCCATACGTCTGCCTATACTCAAGCTTGGATGCAAGAACACCATTTGGCCACAATTCCATGGCCAGCAGCTTCACCAGACCTTAGTCCCATTGAAAACATATGGGTACTAATGAAGATTGAATTGGAACGAGCAGCTCCACGAAATAAACAAAATTTGATTCGCTCAGTTTTACAGGCCTGGACTACCGCCACTGAACATTATGGTGTGGACCTAGTTTCGGGTGTACCTGGACGTTTAGTTAAGTGTTTGGAGTTAAATGGAGGTTGTATAAGTAAATAAAATTAATAATTTGTTATAATTTTTTAACTCAAGTCCAAAAAATATATATCGATAATTGTAATGCTGCTTTCTTTTTTTCCGGATACTTTCTAGATGAACTATATAAAAAAATTTAAAATAGCTTTTAAAAAGGAAATAAAAAGCGAGGTTCGGTATTGCCAAAAAAAGTTGGAAATGGTGGCTAAGAAACGAAATGTCAAATTTAAAATCTTCTTCTTCAAGTACCGTCTCCTAACGGAGGTTGGCAATAATCATGGCTATTTTGATTTTATTTGCTGCTGCTCTAAATAATACATTCGACGTCATTCCATAACATTCTCTGAAGTTCTTCAGTCAGGATGTTCGTCTTCTGCCCCGACTACGTCCTCCTTGGATTTTTCCTTCCATAATATTCTGGAGCAATTAGTATTTAGGACCTCTTATAACATGTGCAATATATATTCCAATTTTTTTCCTCTTAAGGGTTTTATGTATTTCTTCTTCCTTGTTCATATACGGCGGCGTAACATCTCGATATTTGTAACTTTATCGACCCAAGAAATAAGAAATCCGTAACATGCGACGATAACACCACCTTTCGAAAGCCACCACTCTACTAATTTCGGCTGTTTTAAGGGTCCACGCTTCGGCACCATATAATAAGGTCGAAAACACGTAGCATCGGAGCATTCTTATTATTAAATCTAAGTTTATATCTCTACTACAAAGAAATTTCGTTAGTTTTAAAAAAGAATTTCTGGCTCAATTTGACTCTATTTCTTGCAGTTTCACTTATTATTGTGCCCAAGTATTTGTAGTGTTGGACTTTTTCTATTAGCGTACTGTCTATTGATATTGAATATTGAAGTATTTACATTTTAGTCTTTTGTAATAATCATGAATTTTGTTTTCTTCAAATTCATATTCAGCCCATATTGTTTGCAGGAGACATTTATTCTTTGAAGTAGGTTTTGCAGATCTTCACCATTCTCTGTTATTACTACTGCATCGTCAGCGTCTCTGATATTGTTGATTCGTTGACCATTCACTTTGATTCCCTCATCTCCCTTTACTAAAGCTTCTTGAAAGATGGCCTCACTATATGAATATTGAAAAGGAGGGGAGACAAGATGCATCCCGGACGCACACCTCGTTGTATTTTTATATTTTCAGAAAAACCATCATCTAATCTGATCTTAGCGGTCTGTCTCCAATACAGGTTCGCTATCAATCTTATATCTCGACTATCTTGTAATATTTCGATTAGTTTTTTGTGTCGAACTCTATCGAACGAAGTCTATTAAATCAATGTACACATCTTTATTTACATCTAAACATCTTTGCGTAAGAACATTTAAACCGAAGAGCGCTTCATTTGTGCCCATTCCCTTCCTAAATCGCAGTTGGGAATCGCTTATGTCCATATCTAATTTTGAGTATATCCTGTTGTGGATAATACGCAATAAATTTAAAATCTAATAACAACAGTTTATTGAGCAGGAAAAGTAGCAATCCAATGAACACCTACACCAGCATCCTTAAGGCCGAAATCTATCGAAAGATACGAACTTATCTTAAACAAGAACATTCGGAAACAAGAAATAGTCATCTTATCCAATTCAAGCAGCATTAAAACCGATCAATTCAGTAACCATCAATTCGAAGTTGGTCAAAGAATGCCTAGAGATTGTCTAGGCAAGAGCGTGTCCCCCAGTCAACCAAGGCCTGGAAGATAATGAAAAAGCAAACGATCTAGCTAGAAAAGGAGTGAATACTCCACTAACTTGACCAGAACCGTTCTGCTTCCCAAGTGGAAACCAACTAAAACGTAACTGAAGAAAACTTCTTCAGAAACCTGGAATGGGAATCCTCCAACGGTCAAAGACACTCGAAGAAATTTCTCAGAACTTACGACCGAGACCGAAAAATTTTCTTTGTTTTAAGTAAGAACAATCTTCGGATTATCACGGGGTTTTTAACAGGTCACTATCTCCTCAACGAACACTTCAGTGGATTGAAACTAAGAAACAACGATTCTGTGGGGAAAATAGTGAAACACCAGAACACCTCACTTTGAAAGAATCCGCAAAACCTATAGAAAAAATAATTTCTTACAATAGATACCTTTATGGTAAGTTCATTTCAGGAAAAATAAATAAAAATATAAAAAAGGAAAAAGGATTTTAACACAGTCGATTTTACAAATAGTATGAACAGAGTAGGAACAGTAGGTGCCCGTTGGCGTAGAGGTACAGGCTCTCGTCTACCAATCTCAAGGTAGTGGGTTTGAATTTCGAATCCCACACCCGGCATTTCATCAGCCGCTATTTCTATTAAAGTTATAATTATTTCTTATTTCTTTTTTTCCAGCAGCTATTTCTATTAAAATAAAAATAGTTTGGGTACCTAGGTCGACTCAGCCTTAACTGAGTACTTGGGATTCACAATCCTGAGGTAATAATAGGCGGTTGAAGCGTAGTGCTAGCCACATTACCTTTCTTGTGTACCGAACGGCTCTAGTATGGCAAGCTGTACCTTGCTACTCCCAAGGCGTTAAACGCTATACACCGGAGCTATTATTATTATTATGAACAGAGTTGAATATTACTGTTCTTTTAAGTACATATTATTTTTAATTATTTAAATATTTGGATTTATTTTCTAATATTATAAACTCTTACCTTGGATTGTGAGGTGATGGATAAAGTTTTTCCTCTAATTTGGTCTCATCGCAGTGACAATAAGAGGTAGAAACATGAAGAAATACTTTTAGTTTTTTAAAGGTACACACCAAATCTAATACGTTCAAAGTACCACCTGAAAATAAACAGAATAGATATAGTACTATAGGTTTGGTGCATTCTCCGCCGGTGCTGCCACCATCGGAGAATATCGTAAACAACTGGTACTTACAAATACACGGGTTTAAATAGCGAGAATACGAAAAATGTATTATTTAATTATTCTAAAAGCGTTATAGGAAGAAGAAAAGGAAGTATAATTTGTGAAACTTCTAAAAATAAAAATAAAAAAGTAAATATTTTGAAATCTTCAGAAGGTCTAACGTATTATAATTTATTATTCCAGTTAAAAAAACTTTTCAGATGAATTCAACTGCGGTAGCGAGCATAGTTTTAATCACCGGTTTTGCTAGTGGGTCATAATTGGGACTATTTCGGCTATAGTATAACGAAATTTTTTAAAGGTACATATAATTATAATTTTAAAAGATGTTCATGAAACATTTAATCATTAGTTGATTAAATTTTATCCTCTCTTGTTTCGTCAACTGCTTGAATCCGTTTTTGCTTTTGATCAAGATTTGTGAGAAACATGAAGCTATAAAATGTTCTTTCGGGAGAGTTGAATATCCGGGAAAGTTAAGTTATTGAATGTTATTGTTATCACAGATTAGGTATCCTGTAAGTATACAGATAAAAATCTTGTCCCTAATTCGTGGTACGAAAATTGTTTTTTATAACGATGTGCAAACGAGTCAAATTTCCTGTGCGCAAAAATAAACTCGCGTAAAATAACAATAAACAGCGTAATAGAGAGATATCGCTAAACCGAATAGCGTCCATGGAGGTTAATAAGGCCAGGTGTTAATTCCTTTACGTGAGGTGGTATTAACTCTCTTCATTTATTGTTATCGGATCGGAAAGAATTCTGATCGCGTCGCGTCCGCTATTTAAACTTACCCTAACTTTGAATTTAAAACTTTGAAATTGTTTTGTTTGCTAGGTATTTTAAAACTAAAGGGCTAAAGTGCTTATTTCCAGTGCTTTATTGTTCAACGTCTGCCAGTGGGTTTAGGGCAACAAGCAACACATTCTCTTAGAAGGGCTAAGTCACTATCTGCTGTAAACCTAAGACTCTTTATAGGTTCTTTAGTATTGGTGAGAGGTGGAATCCATATTTTGGGCCATATTTATTTAATTAAAACTAATCCCAGCTACTTAAATATCAAATTACCTAATAAAACTAAAGCAATAATTCCAAACAATTCAAACATAACCTAAAATAAAAGATCTCGCCGGCCGGTTCCGGTTGTCAAATACCCGCACATGCCCATTTATGCAATTTTTAAACGTTATCAGAGGTTATTTACCGCGCTTTCACATGCGACGGACCGTCCGCGACGGAGCGTCCGTGACCTCGAGTAAGTACCATGAGTTTATATGAACAATTTCACATGGGCGCGTATGCTCCGTCCGACGGAGTTTGTTCGACGGCTATCTTGAAAAAACACGACGGACGGTCCGTCGCATGTGAAACCGCTGTTAGAAAGAGCGCTTAATTATATAAGAAGGAGCGCTTGGTGTAATTGATCCGCAAATTACGTCAGGCGGTAACGATATTAGCGGGTGTTGTGTTAAAAATTGACTCGCACATATCGTAACCATGATAAGGTACGCGTAAATACTGGATGACGCTATTCGGTTTTCCGATATCTCTCTAATAACTGTGCCGGTCAGGCGCTGTGCACAATTTTAGAGGCCATAAGTGGGCGTGCTATGTGCGCAAACTAGTCACCTAACTAGTGCCCGATTCCGAAAATTGGAAGCACGAAAAACAATAAAGAAAAAACAAAGATTATAATCTGCTGTGTTGTTATTGCACCCAACAACGCTCTCCTTTACGCATTGACATTTTTTTGGGCAATTTTATTAACATTTGAAATTGTCACAACATAACTAGACGCCTAGTTCGAATCCTTTTTCACATATTTTTTACTACCCGAAACAGCGTTACATCACACAAACCTCGTACTAGAGTGTTTTATAGTCTCAATAACTGCACTAGCAAAAAACTAAAATATTATGGCAAAACCCCGATTTCAATATTATTTTAATTCGATCAACATGACGGCGCGGGCGGCGCCGGCGTGAACTATATAGAGTGATAATTTCTGATTTTTGCCGTTGAAGCGCTGCGGTCGGAATTTGTTGAAATCAACTGAAATGCACCAAGCCTATAGTAACCAGCCACGAGAATTGGTTAGAAATTACGACTTCTTGCATCTAAATACCTGAAAATTAGTGGCATACATTGTTTATATTTCAGTTTAAAGAATTAGTATAGAGAGAGTTGTTAATACTTTTTAATTCATAAAATCTTAATGTCAGAATGCTCGTAAATATCAAACTGGGTAATGTAATACTTTATTGCATATTTAATTATGGTTAAATTATGCATTTGGCATAGATTATGATCGACAGTAAATTAATGATAAGGCAATCGCCTTGAAGATGGCACAAAGAAGTAACATTATCGCAGAAACGTTTATGGTACACTAAAATCGTTTAAGGATTTAATGATAAAGTAAAATAATTGAAATATGCCGATGAATAGTTCTAACCAAGGACAGCTTACATAAGAGAGATCGATAATTGAGGCTCACCGGTAAGTCATTAAGAATTGTTTGATAGAATTGATTGCTTAACCATAAATAAATACTATTCTATAAAGATGTTAGTATTAAAATGTCATACTTAAGAAATACACAGTCAACAATAATAAATATAATTAGAGGATAGGTACTTATAATGAACATTGGGCGGTCAATGGACGTTTGTTAGTAATAAACAATTTTTATTGAATTTGGGCCAATGTTATGCTACTCCACGTGGCATCATGAACAGCTGACTTGAGAATTTAAATCATTTACCTACAGTGTGTCCCTGGATTGCCTTTACAAGAGGAAAAACTTTTTTATTATTGACATTTTGAAAAAAATGCATTCTTCATAAAAATGTTTGCTTGTTCTAAAATTTTTAATCCCGTTTATACTTTTCCAAATTTCCATACTTACCGTTTTAGAGGAAATTTAAAAAAAATACATGAAAATGTAGTTGAATTTTATTAAAGTCCTAAAAATCAAGACGCGTTTCTATGGTTATATAATTTCGATTTCATTTTTTGATAGATGGTTATTGATAGAATTTTAATTATCGTCATATTTTTTGCTGTTTTAAAATGTTAAAGAAGCTCGAATTTTATTTAATTCAATACTTTTTGATTCAATGCTATGGGAAGGGTGATAATAGTTATCGGGAAATCTTGTACTATAACAACAGCAAAAAATATGACGGTTATCGAAATTAATAATAACAATCTTAGATAACAATACCATAGAAACGCCTTTAGATGTTTAGGACTTTTAGGATTAAAAATTCAACCATAATTTTTATGTTTTTTTTTTTAATTTTCTCTAAAACGGTATGGAAATTTGACACAGTATAAACGGCATTAACGATTTTAAAAGAAGCAAAAATTTGTATGAAGAATGCATTTTTTTCAAAATGTCAATAATAAAAAAGTTTTTCCTCTTGTAAAGAGGAAAGTCTAATAAATATGTGTAGAATCGAATTAGTTTAGTTATATTTGTTTTACTTTCCATTTTACTTTATAAAGTCTATCAAACGAGTCAGAGAAGATTTTGACAGACGAAAACCAAAAAATGACAGAAAACTTAATTTAACTCTTTATTAAAATGACTCTACAATGTTCATTTTTTTATTGATCTTATTGTGAAAAATGTAATAATTTTTAGCGTATTCTCCTTTTTTACTCTATATAGATGTGTGATTTTTTTTAAAGTACTTTTCTGTTAATACAGAAAAGTATAAATAATAAAAATATAAAATGTAAATAATGTAAAATACATTAATACATACAACCCTAAATTTTCACCCTCCTACTATCAACCCCTATTTTTTAATAGGGGTTGTTTTTTAAAACATTTGTTACTATACTCCAAAATGTCCGAAACGACTTGACCCATTTTAATGAAAATATGTATATATTTTCAGTAGGTCTGAGAATAGGATGTTACCTATTTTTATACCCCTAAGTGATAAGGGTGGCCCACCCCAATTTTTTTTACTTTTCGAACAGAATTTTTTATTTTTATTTTTTTATAATGTGGCATTAAAAAATCTCTCAATTTTCACCCTTCTACCATCAACCCCTATTTTTTAATAGCGATATTAGTGATTCAATAATTCTACTTTAACAACACATTGTTTTTAAAAATTGTTAGAATTAAGGTATTCTAACAATTTTTAAAAACGTGGGTATGACCCGGTATACCCAAGGTGCGTCTCAAAAGTGGCTCATCCCTATAACTTTTTTATTTCATCATAACTTTTTTTTCACATCTTTTTTATCTCATCCCTATAACTTTTTTAAACGAGATTTGATATGTTAATATATGACATAAATTAGAATTGATTGGCGTATTCCCTTGGTATTTTTTTACTTTATTCGATAGAAATTGCTTTTTCGAATATTATGGTTTATTTGAAATTGTAACATGCGGTTCATAACGACAATTTGACTCGAAATACCAAATTTGTGGTACCAAATTATTCGTAAAAAAATGCTTTTTCCAAGTATGCTAATGAGCAACCCTCGTTCCATTTGAAAAAATTGAGATATGACGAAAAACGATTTGGGCATCTTTTAACCGACCAGAACAAGACACGAAAAACATTTGATGATCAAATTTATTTTTCCAAAGATCCTTGATTAAAAATTAGTGTATTTAACACAGCCATGGCACTTTAGATGAAAATTTTAAATACGAGTTTTTTGTAAGCGAAAATGTCAAAAGTTGACATATGATATATCATTCTATTCAGAGTGTTATTTTATTGAATAAAGTAAAAAAATGCCGAGGGTGCCATTTAAAAATCAAAAGTTGTAGTCATTTCCGGTGAAACAAGAAGTGACCAAAAACAATTGAAGATGTCAATCAATCCTAATTTATGTCATATATTAACATACCAAATCTGTTTTTTTTTATCTGAAAAAATAAAAAAGTTATAGGGGTGAGCCACTTATGAGAGGCACCAGGTATACCGGGTGTAAAAACTTGAATATTTACCCAAATTTCAATATACCGAGAACCCATCACTAACCTTAGCCACAGCAACGCATGGCCGGATCTGCTAGTTAAATAATAAATTTTACAACCCAATAACATTTCCAAAAATTGACTCTGAATTAGAACTACGGCTAGTTCACTGGTACATATACCCAAGTAATTAATCGTTTAATTCCATACATTAACATGCTAATAATTAGTCCGTACCTATATATTTTGCTTGTATTGCTCGTGTGTGTGAGAATATTTCAATATCTGCACCAACTTACCGGTATTTAATAGTACGGCATTCTTTAACGGCTGGTCGAATCTGACATTGGCGGCCATATGGAACACGACGGTGACGTTCTCCTTCAAGAGGCCGAGATCTTGCTCGGAAATATTCAGATTAGGGTAGGTTACGTCGCCGCTAACGCACTGCAGCTTGTTCAGCAGCTTTTCGCCGTTGGATTGGTCGCGAATTTTATCGAAAACCTAAAGAAAAATAAATGTTCTAGACAATTATTTGTTTTTCGTTTATTTCGATCGTAATTCTATGCAAATTCGTTGGTGAAAACCAACTTACAACGGAACTCAAGAACCTGGAATAATCCATCCGTAACTTTGAATGGGAATCCTCCAATGGTTGTAGATCTTGATCTAAGTAGGTACGATCTTCGGGTTGTTACGGGGTTTTTAACAGGCCACTGTCTCCTATTCCGTGTTCTGTCTCCAGAACAACCTCATCATTGAGTGAGTCGAGACGGCAAACATTCCTACCATAAACTTTGGTACCTCTGACATCGGAGACGGAGAACTAGCCTCTGTGAAGAAGTTTCAGATACTGGCTTTTTCTCAAACACAATAAAAACCCAAAGTACCTAGATGTGACACTCGACAGAACACTTTAAAGAGAACTTATGAAAAACAGCAGAGAAGCTGAAAACAAGAAACAACATAATACAAAAATTGTGCGGAACATCTTGGGATGCTTCAGCTTCTACTCTTCGCTCGTCCGCTCTGAATCTCGTCCTAAATAGTCCACATGTCCACACCCACAGAATGGCTTCCAGTAGGTACTAAGTCACATCCCACCCCCAAGTCTGCGCCGCATAAACGCTCTATACAGAGAGTTTAACAAGATATTGGACAACAAAAAACTACCGATCCATACAGACATCGAGGATGCTAACCACAACCGCGTCCGATCCAGAAAACCAACTGAAGACGAATGGAGCATCACCGACGCTTGGTATCAGGAATGGACGTCGAAACAAAACAGTGACATGCCATGCATGCCTGGTGGCAACTCACCACCAGATTTCGACTTACCAAGGAAAACCTGGTGCACGCTAAACAGAATTAGAACACAGCATGGCAGATGCGCCAATGTCAATAAAATATAATATTTAATAAACCAAGTTAGGATGCAAATGCCGTATGATCGAAAAAACATCCAGTTGGCTAGGAAATGGCGATCGATGACATTTCCTATATAAATTTACATATAAAATGACATCATTCTTCATCTCATGGCCATCGCTGACGACATCTCATGGCCAAACGAAACCTGCAATATGCATCATACTGCAATAAACCTCCCCCCCGCTCCTTATCCGAATTATTTTTTTTCTGTTTAAAAATTAAATATTAATTTTTATTTCTACACACAAAAAAGAATATTCTTATTTCAAACATTTAATACTCAAATAGAATAAATCTTAACTTTGTATATACGCAAAGAAATATATATTTATACTAAGTATTTAGAATGATAAATTTAATGCTACAATATTCTCCTAATGAATGATTTATTTTTTAAAACAAGAATAAAAATTTTAGATTTAAATATTTATTATTACTATATCTAAGACACAAACGATAAAAAAGATATCAAATCTTTTAAAGCGAAAATAAACTAATTCTACAATTGAAATTGCATTTACTCTGTTTGAAATGTCTCGAATTTGAAGTTATATAACGGTTTTCTTGATCAAAGTATATTCAATCTCCATTTGAGTAACTTATTTCTCAAAATGAATATTAGTAAAAGTTTGGTTTAAGATACGAACGAATTGAAGCAACAAAAGTTTTTACTTAGTCTGAATAAATATATTTTTAAATTTGAGACTTTTCAATTCTCCGAACAATTTTCTTTTTGTTTCATTTGAGTAAAATAAAATTTTTGAAGTAAGGCAAAAATATCTCTGTTAAAAGTTTATTTTTAGTATGTACAGCATAAACATTGGTTTGGTTTGGTCATTTTTCAAGGTATTGCGACACTGAGGATGACATGTCACATGATGTGGATCGAACTTCCCAGGTTCGAGTCCAATATTCCACTACTTTATTCCATGGCTCGGTATTATGTTGCAGCTATGCAATTTCTTCTTTAAATGTATCTAAAAATGATTGCTTTCTGTTAATTTCAACTAAATTTTACTATTTTAATGCTATACCTTCTAAATTATCTTTTTTTTGTTTCGGGACAATACCAAAAGTCTTCGTCATCTGGCCTTTTTCTTTGTTTTTGGGTATCACCAGATCTAAATAAAATATTTCTGCAGTGATTCACTAGTTTGCCCTTAGCCATAACTGTCTTGTGAAATGGACTACATGCTCTTTTCACAGGGGGACAGTAATACACTCCCATTGGCTTTGTGGGAAAAGGAGCACTATTTTAGCAGCCAAAGAATTGTACTCATCTTGTTGAAGTCGACTAAAAAATAATTATTTTTAGTTTTTGCTTATGTAAATTCAAAAGCGAGTTCAGCTGAGTAAAAAGAGAATTAAATTTTTTATTTATTATAGTATTTTACTTACTTTTTAACTACTAACTTTTTTTCCATAATTAATAACTAATCGCACCACGGCACCAAACGCAACAGCAACACGCATGCAACACCCCTACCGCGTCCCATCAAGCAACTGTTCAACTCAAAACTCAACTATAAAATACCGATTACCGGCCGCCTGAAGCAGGTTTAGAAAACAAGTGATGGGAAGGGGTGAAATGAAATTTGCTAATTCTCAAGACAAAATTAATAAAAAAATAATAATTTTAATCCTAGTAAATATGTTTATTTTTTAATTGGTTTGTGCAGCAAAATATATTTAAACGGAAACATAGTAGTTTCAAAATGTGTATAAAATATTTTTATTTTAAGAAAAACTGTGTTTTAATTCCTTGGTTATTTTTATTTGGAGAATTTTATTATTTTATACTAAACAATTAAAGCAAAGATTTGTTTTAAATGAAGTATATAAGACTCTTAAAATAATATTTTATTTTTCTTGATCAAAACCTTATATATTTCATTGAAATAAATTGGTATTTTAAATAGAATATCTAACTTATTTTGGAAGCAGTATATTTAAAACTTCAATTAATACTATCAGAGTTTCTAAACAAAAATATTATTTTAAATTAAGAAAATATATTGAATAATTATTATTTTGCTTTTAAGCAAATGCATATATTTAAACGAAACATATATACTTGAAAAAAGTATCTGTTTACTTAAATTTAGTAAAAAATTTTGAGAAAATATGTTTACATAAATGAAGTATTTCTTTTTTTGTGTGTAGAAAAACGAGATACAGAACAGTGATGACGACACTCAGTGGATACGTTTTTTGTAAATTAACACTTCAAACATTTGCTAAAACAGTTTTTGCTTATTATCTCGAAACAACGTTTGTGGGATAAGACGGGTTTTGCAACTTGACGCGTCGATTAATTGAACCAAATATGGACCTATTTATGTGCTGATTTACACCCGGTCGAGAATCCAAATCAAAACTTTATTTTTAACTAATTTACTCACCGGACAATTTAGGAAATCATCCAAGCGATCCATAGCGTCACGTCCTTTTTTGTTCCTGATCAGGATGTATATGGTGGATATGTCAGGACAACACCTCAGCAACTTTTCCACTAGGATTTTACCCATAAAACCCGTGGCTCCAGTAACAAAGATGCTTTGACCAGCATACCAACCGGGTATGTTTGAAACATTATCCATTCTTGCAAAATTAATCCTGAAATGAAAGGTTAGTTTAGAATATATCTCGTATAAAATATTTTGTCCACTATCATACAATAATGAAGTTTTTATCCCTTCATTATAAAAGGTTTAAAGCGATAGTTTATCAACTATGGGATAAAATAACTATATTCCGTTATTGTAATACCGAAATTTTTATTTTATTTATCAACTTTATCATTTATATTAACAATTATATTAATAGACAATTCGTTGTTTTTGAAACGGAATACCATCATCGTCCCCTTGCATTTTTCCGTGATTTTAAGAAAAACGTTTGCAAATTCTCACAATACAAGCATAAAATAATGCTTACTGCTAATTTTTCCTATCATATTTTTATAATTTTAACCACTTCAACTTCAACGTCTATTTTGTGGATAAAACGTTGTATTACAGTAAAGATAGAGGTTAAGAAAGGAGTAAGAAAACGCTCAAACTACGTTCTTGATTTTAAACATTCTTGTGTGGATAAAATAAAGAGTAAGGGGAAAAATCAACAATGTCCATTTTATAAGATTTTTTAAGTAATTAACTTAATCTGTTGAGAGTCCCAAACACGTCCTAAATTGTAATTGAATATAACAAACGATGTCCTATTGTTATAATAATAACGCGTACAGCTATAACTTTGTGTATGTTTAAGATGATATTTGGCAACACTAAATCAGTTTTATCTAGAAAAATTCAGTAGTGTCATCGACTGTATTTTGCCCTGTAACCTTCAAATGCTCCCAAAAACGGTTATACAGGGTGAGTCTTAAATAAGTGCAAAAATTATCAGGCTTTTTATCAATCTCTTTACCGTTTTTTAAGTCCAAAATAACCGAGTTATTCAAGTTTGAAAATTAAAAAAATCACATCACTTCACTGTTAGGCGGTACGAGGTGTACTTTGATGTTATACTAATAAAACTATTTGTGATATCTTTTATATATCCTAGAATGGCATTTTGCTAGACTAGACCATCGCTCGAATTATCAAGTGAATATAAAAATTAATAATAATCGTACATACATAATATACTGAGATTCTTAATGATTGTTACGTCTTTAAAAGTCATTAGGAAAACCTTGCGTTATTTTCTTTGTAACAGTCATTACCAAAAACGATATTTTATTATGAAAATTCCCTTGATAAATATATTTTTTCTGTTTCTGTTAGAAAGTAACACGTTTAGCAAAACAAACTTGATGATTTAATAAATAATAAACCTTTATTGTACAAAAAGCCAAAATAGCTTCATCGACAAAGCATTTACAAAACAAACAAAAGCAGAAAAAATATACAAATAGGTAATAAAAATATCATTAACATTCGTATGGATTTTTAATCTTTAACTTAATCTAACTTTTAAATTTTAAATCAACATAAATATAATATTAATTATTTATTGTAAGAGAATAATATTTATTGTTATAGGCCAAAACCTACCCGTACCAAAGCCCGTGCAAGACTTCTGCAAGACCTAGATAACGCATTCAAGACTTTTATATTATGATGTCGAAAATTACTTATTTGTTCAAAATTATTGGTTTAGTTTATTACAAATAGAATTATGTCTTGTCGTTATCTTTCTGGATACGTTTGTAAATATATTTCTGTTGTTTCTGTTATGTTATTGCGCTATTTCTGTCAAAACTGTAATAAAGTTTTAACATGTTGCGTTTTTCTTTCAAACAATCAAAGCCCTCTAATAAAAAACGATTATTACAAATTATTGACGTTGAAAAACCACTATGCATAACTTCTTGTACATCGTTAGAATCGCAATGAATTTATCTACCGTATGATCGAAAAAAAACGGCGTCCAGTTAGCTTGGAAATGACGATCGATGACATTTCCCATACAATTTTACATATAAAATGATAGCGATTTTCATTTCATAGCCATCGCTGACGCCGTTTTTATTCGATCATTCGGTATTTAGATGTGTAAAAATCTAATATGGTACTAAAAGAGAACATAAAGTCGATGATGGTGGTCAAAAGACAAAACGTCCGATGACAAATCTGAAAATACTGTTATGTAGTTGGAAAAAAGTGGCAAGAAAAATGTGCTTTTAGTTTTGGGATACCATATCAAATCACGTTGCAATATAACAACCCAAGTTCGTTTAACAAAGTTAAAGAGGTAATATTTTGGCCAACTGTATAACAACAATTTAACAGAAGCCCGACAAAAGCAATATTTTGGGAAATTTGAGGAGAATCGGTTATATAAATCAAACGCTAAATTTGTAAATAACCCTACTTATTTTATTAAATGAAATGAAAAGAGTTGCGTACTCTGCCTGGAATTCACAAGTAAAAGAGCACGGCAGAGAAAACCTTGATCACTATTCCAGGGAATCCAACTATGCTGTTCTGAACTTTAATAAAAGAGAAATAACAAACAATTCGAAACGGAAAAGGTTTATGTTAGTTTAGCGGGTCCCCATCCAAGGCCCTTGTTACGGTACTCGAAATTAAAGTTGAAGGTTTAATGCAAATATTTATAGATTATGATTATTTATTCTATGAGTTATTCTATTTATTGTTTTTGTTTGCTCTTTTGTGAGATAAGATATTTGCCCAGTCACGGTCGAAAATTTTTAGTACATTTAACAAGGCCCTTATTGTCACACTGAACCAAAAACATCGGCACGAATGGACAGTAAACGATTGTTATATATATTTGTTTATAGATATTTGTTTAATGTTTTTTTCCAGTTCGCATCCCCAATGAGCCCACTGGCAGTCTCGTTGTGAAAGGAATCATTAGAAGCATTTTATATTTGATCTTTTACAGGTTACATGATTGGAAAACTCCAATTCCCCAATTCCCGATTTCCAGTAATCAAAACGAAATTTGCTATATTTCAAAAACGGCAAGAGTGGCTGGTATAGGGTTTGAAGCAGGATGAGGCAGGATAATAGCAGCAAAAGCGAGAACTTGTTTCAGCCATCCTGCTTTTATTGTGTTGCTATGTGTGACGTCACCAATCAGACTTAAACTTGCTGTATCTTAAAAACAGCAAGTGTTGCTGGGATGAACTTTAGAGCAGGATGCAACAGCGATATAGCAGCGCAAGCAGGAACCAGTTTTGGTGATCCTGCTTCTCATGTGTTGCCAAGTGGGAAGTTAGCAACCAAAATAAAAGTAACTATAGCTGAAAATTGGTAGGTGTGGCTGGGTTGGGATTTCAAGCAGGATAAAGCAGGATTGTAGCAGCCCAAGCAGGATCGTATTTTATAATTCCTGCTTTCAATCAGTTGCTAACTTCCCCGATCTGGACGAATGAGGTTAAATTAGTTATATTAGCGGGCTAGTGTCTTAAGCCATATTTTCCAACTCTAGCCAGCAATTAAGCTGACATTTATTAAGCGTACAACAACCACGGACTAGCTACGCCCATTTAAGTTGCGCACATAAAGCAACAGAAGACGCCTTGGCCGACCTTGACGTGTCCAGCAAGCCGCGCGGATTTCGATTCCACTTTCATTTTCCTCTCGCGAATTGGGGTTAGATAAAAGCGTTATTTCGTCGGATCGCTCGCATATTTATTTTTTATGTTTGTTTTTCTCGTCGGTTTTTTCTAATTAAACTATTGAGAAAGAATTGATTTTTACCGAGCGAAATAACGTAAATCTATGAGCAAATAGAATTTAAAATCTATTAATTGACCCGGTTTTAAGATAGGATAAGTGCCGATAGAGTTTGTTTTTATAAAATATTCTTAATAACTGATATTGCGTAGATATAGTGTTTTCTATTAAATGTATATTTCCCCTCCCACAGTGTAGCTTTGTATGGGACCCAGAATCGGTTTCTGGGAGGCTACAGCTTGGTAGATCTGGAAGATGTTGCCGGGAAGATCATAAAGGCGGGTTTACACGAGTCAAGTGAATTCGCTTGAACTCAGTTCGCATGAATACAACATGACCGTCTGAACTCGACAAATCATATCAATTGATCAAGTGAGTTAGTTAATTCAAGTCTCAGTTGACTATTGTTTAACAATTTTTTTGACATTCATGTGGTGTTTCTAAAATGGCGGCCAGTAGGTAGTCCGAAGGATTTCAGCTATAATTAGAGTTCGACAAGCGGGCGTATTAGCCACTAACCAACCGATCAACCAACCATCTGCTCTGCATCGTGGGCCATATCTATATTTGATGTCAATTAAACTTCTAGTTACGTAATCGAGGGCGCGATTTTTAAATTCATTGTTGCCAACCATGGACATATTCGGCGCCGCGCTGACTAACTGGAATTTTAATTTCGCGCTGGGGATTCAGGTGGTAGCTCTGCTGTAAAAATGTCAAGTTGCCGCATTTATTTATTTATTTTCCGACATTGTCATTAGTTTTGACACTTCAATTTTGCATTACGAGTTTTTGGTTTAAATAAATAGTGTTGCTTTGAATAAGAAGACTAAGGAAGGAGCATAATGCTATCCATGTATTCATGCATGGTGGGCGGAAAAAGCTCTCTAGGGTGGGGATCCTTGACAGTTCTGTTTGACGATTCATTTGACACATTTGAATTTGATTTGAAATTTTGTGGATTTGTCAGTCTTTACGGAGCTTATTTTATGTTATTTATTATTTATTCTACTACTGATAGTTGTATAAAGGTAGTAAATCTAGATGGAAATTGTGGCAGAACTTAAATTAACAGTGACACTATCGCGATTTATCGAAAAAGACTCTAAAATAGTTGGTTGTGTAGCGTGCGGTAGATCTCGGCAAAAATGAAGTGAAATAATGGAACAACTCTTCGCTAGTAAGTGACTATATAATATACATACGTGTAGTAAACCGATCATTTATGAAATTCACTTAAATTAACTAAATTATATATTTTTCTTGCATTTTAGCTTTTATTTATTACTTGTCAAAGATTAGATGTCAAAGAATTTAGATACGTTAATTTGACTTACCTGCTTCAGTAGCGTATCGGATGTTTGTGTTAATAAATACTTATTATAACTTGTCTATTTTTATTAGAATTATATATTTTATAACAATTTTAATAACTACCAACATTTATTCACAACGTAAAATAAAACAACAAATTATTGAGTCTACC